GTGCAGGGGGCTGAGTGGAAGCGGTTTGTGTATGCGAGGGGAGTTCATAGTGGGGTGCTCGGAGGTGAATATATGGGGAGAGCGGAGAGCATAGGGGGGGTGTGCGGGGTGTCCAAGGGTGTATACATGTATGCATGGGGAGAGGGAAGTGCATTTGGGGTGTGTAGGGTGTCCAGGGGTGCATGCATGTATGTATGGGGAGAGAGGATTGTGTAAGGTCTTGTGCAAGGGATCTGTAGATGCGTATACAAGAGCTGAACCCATTGCACACATACACAGAGGGTTTGTCTGTGTGTGGATACCTGTGAGTGCTGGGAGAAAATAGTGCAGTGTGTGTGTTTGTGCAGCCAGTATATGCTTGCATAGGTAAATGTGTGCACACTGGGCAGCCCAGCATGACCACATGCGTGTGTGCAGACTGTCTGAGCTTGCATGTGTCCGTGTATGCTGGGAGAGGTGAACATTATGGATATGTGTCTGCAGGGGAACCTGTGCACATGCACCAGGAGCGTGCAGTGCTTGTGTGTCTGTACATGTTGTCTATGTGTCCAGGTATCTACAGAGGCATCCTTCCCCCCAAAGGGCTGCATTATGGTCACTTTTCCTGAGTAACAAGTGATGGGACAAGAGGAAATGGCCTCAAGCTGTGCCAGGGGAGGTTTGGACTGGATATTAGGAGCAATTTCTTCACCGAGAGGGTGCTCAGGCATTGGAACAGGCTGCCCAGGGCAGTGGTGGGGTCACCGTCTCTGGAAGTGTTCACTAAAGGTGTAGATGAGGCCCTCGGTGACATGGGTTAGTGGTGGACTTGACAGTGCTGAGGTGACAATTAGGCTTCATGATCTTAAAGGTCTTTCCCAAAGTAGTTGATTCTATAATTCTATGATCTGTACAGCTATGTGCATTGTCAGAGGGGACGAACGCATGCAGTGTGTGCATGTGCATGTATGCATGCTGTTGAGACAGCAATAAGTGCTTGTACGAACACACAGATCATGGCAGCACACCCCATGCTGGGGCTTCTGAGGGGTCCTCCTGAGGGGTGCTGTGTGTGCCTGTACCTTGGTTGGGGTCAGACTGCAAAAGAAAACAGTGTCCCAGAGCCCTGGCCCCTGCCTGGCATGGCCAGGATGAGGCCATGCATCTCCTCTGGCACTGGAGAGGCTGAGTGCTGCTGTTTTGCCCTTGCAGCGGGGTAAACTGAGGCACCAGGTACCATCAAGCATGCCTCCAGACATCAGATGAGGGTGTAAGCTGGGATGAGCATGGGATGAGCCTGACCACTGATGCACCCACAGCACCTCACAGCCCCAGGAGGGCCAAAGCCCCTGGGTAAGCACAGGGCTTTAGCCACAGTCACATCCCCATGGTGTCCCCACACTCTGTTTCCACCTGCCTGCCTCCCAGTTTTCTCCTGACCCCTTTTTCTATGCAGGCAACTTTGGCAGAGGGTAAAGGAGCTGCCTGTTCTTCCCTGAGCTTTTTATGCGAGTGCAGCTGTAGGACTTGCATAGATCCCTGTGGATGAGCATCATCATCATCATCCTGCAACACTGGGACACAAGGGACAGAAGCTTTAGCCCTTTCCCACCATCAGCTTGACACCAAGACCTCATGCTGCTGTGCTGGGTGTTAGAGGCATAGGGTGATGGAGGCTTTGGGTGCCAAGAGCTGCTGGCTCTGTCCCCACTGGGACCACTTGCATGCTGCAGGGGCAGCTGGTGAGCTGAGTCCTTCGTTTTCCTTGGGACATCTTATGGAAACAGCCGCTGGCCACAGCTACAGCAGGAGCTGGCTTTGCTCTTGGGGTCCACAGCCCGGGATGAGCCTCAGCCCCATTCACTGCACCCCTCTGTGGGGAAAGGTCGTGGCTTTTGAACATCTGTGGAGAAGCTGCCCCTCATCCTGCCATGGTGCCGGTGACTCCTGGTGCTCCTTGAGCTCATGGCAATGCAGCAGCACCAGGCATGGAGCAGCATCCTCGCCAGAGAGGCTCTTGTGGAAAAATGAGCCTCTTTCCTGGGACTCAGTGCAGCTCCCGGCCCCGCGGGGCCCCTGGGCTCTGTTTATCTTTGTGCAGGAGATAAATTAGCTGTCAGCCATCCCATTTCGGGGCTGGGCAGCTGTAGTTCGCACTGGCCCATCTCGTTTAGGCAGGGCTAAGGACCTCCCAGTGCTTGGCAGCCCCTCTGAGCGTGTTTGCTGGTGGCTGGACAACCTTCCTGCTGAGTTGCCCCTGGGAAGATAGGACCTGGCCCTGCTTCAGAGGACCAGCTGCTCCCTGGCTCCCCAGAATTTTCCCAGGGGATCCCATCACACCTGGCTCCAGTGTTGCTGTGTTGCCCCTCAGGGTGCTGTCATCCCCTTCTCTGCCCCATCCCTTGCACAATGGGGTGAGGAGGGAGCTGGGGCCGGAAGCTGAGCAGGTTGAGTCAAGTGTGGTGATGGTGATGGGACTTCCATGGTCCAACAGGAACCCAGGCATCTGGGGGATCTCCCCTTCTCCAAGGCAGAGGGGTTTGGATGCTTGGATCAATGTGGAGGATGTGGCTAGGCTGGCTAGTGACAGCACTGGGGTCTGCATAGCGTACAGTCTGTCCCATTGCCATGTGCACGGCCACCAAGGGAGCTGGCAATGCTGGACCAGCATGACTTGCTTCCTCCCTAGAGCATCCAGAGTGACAGCAGTGGCTTTGGGGCTCTGGATGTGTGCCATGAAGTGTGTCCATGCTCAGGCTCTGCCTTGGGAAGCAAGCAGGACCATCCGTATTCTCTCCACTCTTCGCTCAGCGTCTTTGTACCACTGTGATCTGGTGATGCTCCTGGCTGGAAAGAAAGAGAAATCCCCCAAATGGCTATCAGTGGCTGTGGTGGAGATGGCACAGATAGATACTGGAGGCATAGACAGGCACAGCAAACAGCAGAGCAGAGAGATACTAGGAGCAGAGAGATACTGCAGGAGGAACTGGGAGATAGATCCTGTGGGCTGATCAATACCCACTGCATGTGGAGGGACAGCAAGATAGAGTGAGCTGCAGGAGGAAAGTGTTTGCTGGGCAGTGATGTGCATTTGTCCTGATGATGGCTCCAGGAAGATGCCACTCATGGTCACTTCAGCAGTGGCTGGGACAGAAGTGGACCCATGGTGCAGGTGCCTGTGGCTATATCCCTACCCATTTGGTATCCCCTGAGGTGCCTTGGGGTCACACCTGTGTGCCAAAGGATGCGTATCTCCCACCAACCTGGTCACATCCTCTGGTCCAGCAGGGATGCTCCTGCCATCTGTGGGCATCTTGGAGGGTGCTGGGTACCTGTGTGTCAACAGCAGGGAGCTGGGTCAGTCCAGCATGGATGAGATGGAATGGGGAGAAAGGGCCAGAGATAGCAAAAGCCTGCTGTGTTAAAGACCCATTTATCTGCTAGTCACTGGGCTGTCTTACACGATCCTTTACAAGCTGCAATCACCCACCCTGAAGGGAAAGGCTGCTTTTTGGGACCTTTGGTTACACTGTTCCTGCTTGGTGCTGGGATGGGGACAACCCCTCCTGCTGCAGCAAAGCAGCTGGGACTCCTGCATCCCAGCCCAGCTTCACCCTCGTAGCACTTGCCAGAGCCACCCCATGCCAGCTGGTTTCTCTGCTGTGCACATCCCAGCTTAGCTGGGGATGGTGAGGTATCCCTGGAGAAGCCCTCTGCCTGGACAGCTGCCCTCGCAGCCAGGCTGGGGGGGATCCCCCACCAGTGATGGAGTTATTGACACGGGCGCTACAGAAAACACAGCTGAGATTGTTCACACTAATGTTATTTAGCAGCAATATTTCCGTAATAAAAGAAATCAATGGGCAAGAGAAAAGACCTGTCCAGACCTTTGATTTTCTCATTTTAATGGCATACTTATTTACTCCCACCAGCGTGCCCATCGGATTTTCATTACGCGGCCTTCGCTGTAAGTGGAGCAGTATTGATACGAGCTGCTGAGTTAGCTCCTTCCTGTGTGGGCCAGAGTGGGATTGCTTGTGTTCCTCGACAGTGCCCTGCTAAACCCTGGGAATGGGCATGGCATGGGGCTAGGGGTCCTTGCAGCCCATGGGAACACACATACGTGTGCACATGGAGCCTGCCCAAACGCACGTGTGCACACACGGTTTGCTCATGGAGACACACGTGCACACACGTATGTCCTTACAGTCTGTATGCTGTGGGCCCTGTGCGTACACGTGTGCACTCACTTGTATCACCTGCATGGGCACACATGCATGCACATGACTGTTCTGCCCACACACATGTGCACACACAATTGTCCTACACACTTGTACCCAAGCACTCACACACGTGCAACTGATTTGACTGTATGGACAGATGCCCAATTCTTCTACATATGTACACACATGGGCAATCCCCACCTGTCCTACCTATACGCATAACACACACTTGTGCATGCCCAATACACATGCACACACAAAATCATCCTGCTTGCACCTATACACACACGTGCAAGTGTGACCTGTCTGCATGTATGTACGCATACACACACACACACACACATATAGCCTATATACCCTGTGTTTTCCTCACATGCACCCCTCATGCTGGGAGGTGGTGAACCCCTGTAGGTGTCTACATACACCCCTTGGAACCGCCAACCTGCCAAATGTGGCTCCATCCACCCCTACGGCCACATGCCCAGTACTGGAGCAGGATGGAACCCCCCTACTCTGGGGTCCCCCATGGAAGCAGAGGCCTGGCAACCTTGCAGGCTTTTGATCCCCAGCAATTCCAGTGGAGAGAGGAGTAACAGCACCATCTCCTGCCAGTCTCTGGGAGCAGAGATGGGGTTGATCCTGCCCAACACCATACCCCCAGCTCCCAGGACCCCAGGTGGGATGCTGATGGCTTCCCCACGCACACCCAGCAGGACCCCCGTTGAGCTGACAGCTGGCTGCTATTCCCCATGGCAGGGGCTCAGCGCACTCCACACACTATCTCAGGGACCCAAGCAATTGGGATGAACAATTTTATTACTGATACTTCTTTCCAGGTGGCAAATTAAATGTAGCCCGTGTGGAGGGCTGCAAGTCAGCAGGACAGGGACAGTCTGGGGAGCAGGAAGAGTGACATGCTACAGGACTGGTGGCCAGAGACACACACGTGTTTGGCAACAGCATGGAGGTGAAAGCCCTCCGCCAAGCAGTGAACCTACACAGGTCTGGCTGCAGGGCTGCAATCAGGGTCTGCAGACAGACTTGGTCAGGGACTGCAGCGTTCCCTTGGCTGGGACCCCACAACAGCAGCCAATAGGGGTGGCTGTCCCAGGAGGGTCTCACAGACAGGGGAAGCATTTTGAGGGTCAAAATCCTATCCTGAGCAACGACAGGTTTGGGCACATGCAGACACTAGGTATGTGCATAGCCCCGAGGCCACACAGAATGGGCTCTCCATTAAGGCGACAGACGGTGGCTTTCCACCTTGGGAGGGGGACTGCAGGGAGGGGACTATGGGAAGGGGACCCCCTTCCAGCTCTGGCTATCCCCTGGGACAGGTAACACACAAAAGCCCAGGAGGGACCTCCAGCACAGAGGCTGGGCATCCCCCCCACTGCTGAAGGGTCTCAGTGCAGATCCTGCCCCGTGCCAGAGTGACACTGTGTGCTGCCAACCTACATCAGCAGGGATGGAGCCATGGGGGATGCTGCCAGCTGGACACAGCATCCTGTGCTACCCGCAGCCCCGGCAGACTGCCAGGGAGATGGGAACTTCTCAGCTGACCTTTACAGTGGGTGCTCCGGATCACCTGGTGCACCCTGTCCTGAGGGTGGCATCCTCCTCCTGATATCTCAGGAGCAGCAACCTTGTGGAACCTGGGGACAGCCAGCTCCAGCCCCATGCCAAGGGCACACAGGGGTGTTTGCATCCCACAAGGCCACTCCAGCTGCAAGAGATGGAAAAGCAGGACACAGCTCCAATTGAAAGGAGGGGAAGAGGTGGGTAGTGAGGAGAACTGGTGGTCTGTATTGCTGTGACCACCACAGTCCCTCTGTCCTGGCGTCCAGCTGGCCCACGGGGAACAACAGAGCAATGTAGGGAAGGCACAGGGGGGGTCTCCTGCTGCCTCTGTTAGAGCCTGGGCTCAGGGAGGAAGAGGAGGAGAGGAAGGTTGGGAGGAGAGGAGCCAGCTGTGCACAGCAGGGCACCCTGGCAGCTGAGCTCAGCAGCCCATGGTGCTGAAGAAGGCACTGGCTTCCAGGAGCAGGCCCTTGGCGTAGACACGCAGGGTGTAGAAGAGGGTGACGAAGTCCTGAGTGCTGAAGAGGGTGTCAGCCAGGGCGAAGGCAAGCGTGGAGGGGATGAAGCCCCGGCCATACTCCACCATCCAGGTGCCTGCGCTCCACTGCACCGACGTGGCCTCTCCTGCCTGGTGCACGATGGTGTCCCCTGCCAACACACAAAATCAGCACGGCTCCCAGCAGCTCCCCTGCATCATGCCCAAAGAGGAGATGTCTTGGATCACGACCTGCAGGGCTGAGCACCCCAACCTCTCCCCAGTCTTGTTTTTCTCTTACTGGCACTCACTGAGATGCTGGGATGTGCCTCTGGGGACATAAACTGCCCCATCCTGAGCTCTTGGCTTATGCCGGCTGGAAGGAAGAGGCTCAGTGACAGTGGAGTTGCTGTTCCCCAGGATGTGGATGCTGCTCAGAGGGCTGCTGCACTTACCTGGATAGTAGATCTCACTTCTGGTGGTCCCCTCCTTCCACTGCCGAAAGGTCCCCGAGATGACAGTGTCAGAGATATCTGCCCAGTACCGACCTGCAGGAGGACAGACAGCACTGGCTCAGTGCATCCATGCCTGGGACAGCTTCAGAGCCCAGGGCTGAACTACAGAGCAGCCCTCCAGGGAGAAGGATGCCCAGGGCCTTGACTTAGTGAGGAGTACAGCTGGGTCTGGTACCCAGGCTGCCTGTCTGACTGGTCACATACCACCAGCTCAGGCTGTTTGCTGTCCTTAAGCCCCACCATTTCCAGTGTTTGGCATTTCCTTCCCGCTGAAGTGCTGGGAGATGTAATGCCTGCCCCTGCTTGCCAGCTGGATGCGGAGAGTCCTGGCCAGCCAGCATGACATGGACAGGCACCTGCACGTGCTGCAGGACACCACGGGGGATGGTCTCCATATAAAGAGTGTTTTCCAGCATCCGCACCCCATAGAAGGACCAGTGGGCTCCATGCACTGGGTACCCCATGGCCAAGGCAGATGTATCTGAATAAGTGGAGAGAGCTCAGAGAAACCCCTTGCCCACCATCCCTGTCCCCCTGCTTACCTGAGTGGCCCCCGGTGTCAACAGCCGTTCCGAAGAGCAGCACATACTCAGTGAGAGAGGCGTGCAGGAGACACATGGAGCCCATCCACCCACCCGCGTTCACAAACACCCACTGCAAGTCCTCGTCTGGCAGGATGTGGCCTGGGTGCTTCTTCCGTAGCTCTACGATGATCTTTGAGAAAGCCAGCTCATGGTCCAGCCCTGCAGCACCCGGGGTCACCGTGAGTGTCTGGCACAGAGCTCTACCAGCACCCCCCCTCACTCCCCTCCATAGCCACAGGGTCCCAACACATCCTTAGAGGGGTCTGCCTAGGGAAGATATCCCTGTGGCTGCTCCCTAGGCAGTGATGGAGGACATGCAGTACAAAGCGCTCCAGTCCTATGGCCCACCCCAGGTACTGGGCAACATGGGGAACCCAAGCAAGGTGACAGTGGCCCTGCCCTGGTGACATGCAGCCCCACCGCTGCCACTGTACACCTAGTGTCCTACGGGGTCAGCCCTCTCCTCCTAGTTGGAGATGAGTCCTGCCCCAGCACCGAGAGCCCCTTTACCCGCGATCCCCCCCTGTCCAGGGTGAGTGATGCTGCGAACCTCCAGTCCCTATTCCCCCACCCCACTCTCTGTCCCTGTGCCCCGGTACTGATTCCTTCCCAATACCCATGCTGCTGCCCCAGCCCCAGCCCCTCTCTGATTCCGGTCCCATCCCCGCCATGATCCCAGTCCCCCCGCACCGGAACCTCCTCAATCCCCGTCCGCTCTACACCTCCCTTCCCCAGCGCCGCCACGTTCCCCCGCACTCCCGGTGCCGCTCCCCGCTCCCCGCTCCCCCTCCACGGCCGATGGGCCCCGTCGAGGGGCGGCGCGTACCCGCGTGGTGCCGTGCGAGCTGCGCGATCTCGGCGGGGGTGAACTCGTACCGCTTGGAGGCCAACCAGCCCCGCAGCCCCTGCAGCAACAGCGCCAGCGCGCCCAGCGCCAGCCCGGCCCGCAGCGCCCGCCGCCCCGCCGCCGCCACCACCATGCTGCCCGCTCCGCTCCGCTCCGCCCCGCCGGCAGCGGGACGGGCACCGGCACCGGCACCGCCCCCACGCCATGGCCGGGCACCAGCGGCCCTGCGCCGGCGCGCCGGGGCGGAGCGCAGCGGGGCCGATGCGGAGGGAAGGGGCCGGGGCCGAGGGGCGGTGCTGCCGTCGGGGCTTCCGGGAGCGCTGAGGCATGGACCCGTCGGCGGCGGGGGAGGAGGAGGAGAAGAAGGGGGGTGGCAGCTTCAGTGCCAGCGGTACGGACGGGGCCGGCGCATCCGGACCCCAGCGCATCCTCGGGAGGCGGGGCTGGGGGTACCCTCCCTGCGCTGGGGTGGCAGCGGGGACCCCCCCCGGACTGAGAGAGGGAGGAAGGGGTGAAGCTGATGGGGGCATAACGCGGGGTGCAGACCCACTTGGTTGGGGGGAGGGGGGGGGTGCACCCTGAGTTTCTCCTTCCCTGGCGCCGCACTGGTGTCTCCCCGCAGAGCACCAGCACGCTCGTTACAACCCCCTGCGGGATGACTGGGTGCTGGTATCGGCCCACCGGGTGAAGCGGCCGTGGCAGGGGCAGCTGGAGAAGCCGCCCCCCGAGGATGTGCCCCGCTGGGACCCCAACAACCCTCTGTGCCCTGGGGCGACGCGGGCCAATGGCGAGGTACCACCAAACACCCAGGCATCCGGGCTCCCCCCACTTACCTGGCCCTCTCTAATCCCATCTCTTGCCCTGGCAGGTGAACCCCCAGTACGAGGGCACCTTCGTGTTCCCAAATGACTTTCCAGCCCTACAGCCTGATGCTCCAGAGCCTGGTAAATTCTGGGGGGAGAGCAGGTTGATGGAGACCCCCAGGCTGAGATCCCTGTGGGAGGGCTCTGGGGTGGCCTGGAGGGACACGGGTGCTCCTTCAGCATCTTCTCCTTCCCCGCTCTCTGTCCTTCCCCAGGTGACAGTGATCATCCCTTGTTTCGAGCTGCAGCAGCCCGGGGGGTGTGGTAAGTACCTCTGAGGGGTCCGGTCTGTGATGTCAGCCAGGATCAATGGGTTGAAGTTGTAGTGAGCTTCTTCCTCTCCTTGTGCTGCCTGTTCTGCACACACCTGCATTTTGGGGGTCTCATCCCTGTCCCTGGTTCCACTGCACCCAACAGGACTGTGGGGATCCCCAGAGATGCCCCGCAGTCCCAGCCGTGTGTGTGTTTCCTCTGCAGCAAGGTGATGTGCTTCCACCCCTGGTCGGACCTGACACTGCCTCTCATGTCCCTGGCAGAGATCCGGGCTGTCATCGATGCATGGGCAGAGCTGGCGGCCGAGCTGGGTGCCTCCTACCCCTGGGTCCAGGTCCGGGGTTGGTGGGGGCTGCCCTTCTCTCCCTGCCCTGGGTGGCTTGGGTGGAGGCAGGGGGCCAGCAATGGGTGCTCTGGCAGTATTTGAGGTTGGGACAATCCCTATCCCTGCCTTGTGCCTTTTTGGATGAATGTGAGTCTCCGCTCTCCTTTGGGATGCTCTCCTGGTGTGCGGGGACACTATGGACCCTGGGGCTGGGACCTGCTGGCTGCACCTCTTCTTCCACAGATCTTCGAGAACAAGGGAGCGATGATGGGGTGCTCCAACCCTCACCCCCACTGCCAGGTGAGCCTGTCGCACCCTGACCTGCCTTAACTGCGAGTACCTGCAGGCCGCCCTACAATAAACCAAAGGACAAGATGTGAACGAGAATCCCCCCGCGCTGGTCCCAGGGCTTTTTGCAGGATACCCTCATACCTGTCTTGTCACCTTCCCTCCTTATGACTGTCCCTTGTTGGTACCACATGTCAGACTCTCCACCTGGTGGCAGCACGGACCAGCAGATGGGCAGCGTGTCTGGGGCACCCTTGTAAATGCAGGGTGCAGGTAACCTGTGTCCCCATGTACCCCCTAGGTATGGGCCAGCAGCTTCCTCCCGAATGAGGCGCGCCTGGAGGACCGGACCCAGCAGCAGCACCTGAGCCAGCACGGTGTGCCCATGCTGCTGGAGTATGCTGAGCAGGAGGCTCGTCGGAAGGTGAGGATGTGCCTGTTGTCCGTATCCCTTCCCTGGGAGCTGGATACGTGCTGGAGTAGGACCCTGGAAGTGCCCATCCCTGGGGCTTTGGGGCTGCCTGTGTCCCCATGGAGTTCCATGTCCTGCAGGAGCGGCTGGTGGTGGAGAACAGGGACTGGCTGGTGGTGGTGCCGTACTGGGCTACCTGGCCTTACCAGACCCTGCTGCTGCCGCGTCGCCATGTCTGCCGCCTCCAGGACCTCCACGAGGGCGAGAGGGACAGTGAGTGGTTCTTATCCCCTATCCCATGTCCTTTGGGATTGGCCTTCATTAGGAGGCAGCTTTGGGGTCCATGTAACCTCTAGCTGCTGGGTTTGGCTTGGGGGTAGAACTGGCACCCCCGTCTTGCTAGGATAAGGGTCGGGTATCCAGGTGCAGCCAATACTGGTGGAGGGACTAGTTTGCTGTTGGGGGAGATGAAGCACATGGTGCTCCCTACTTTTGGGGCAGTGGCTGTTGAGGATTGGGGACTCCCACCATGTTGCTTGGGTTGTCTGCATGGATGGAGAGGGGCGGAACTGCCAAGTGCATCCCTTTCTCTTGTCACCAATGTCCGCTATGGTGAGGGGTGCTGAGGCTGACCCCTGCAGCCTGGTGTGCTGTCTGCCCTTGGAGGGGGCTGGCCAGCTTGGGTTGTGATTCCCCAGCACTCCTTTGCAGGCCTGGCTTCCATCATGAAGAGGCTGCTCACCAAATATGACAACCTCTTTGAAGTCTCCTTCCCCTACTCGATGGGCTGGCACGGTGAGTGACATGGTTGGGGACCCCCACAATCCTCTTATCCACGGGGCTTATCCATGGGGCTCATGGAGTGGCTGCATCCCTGCCAGGAGCTCCCACAGGTCCCTACCTGAAGGAGGACTGCAGGCACTGGCAGCTCCATGCCCACTACTACCCCCCTCTGCTCCGCTCTGCCACTGTCCGCAAGTTCATGGTGGGCTATGAGATGCTGGCACAGGCACAGCGGGATCTCACCCCGGAGCAGGTGAGCACAGCTCGGGGGGGATTGTGGGGAACAGGGGGTCCTCTGACAGGGCCAGCCTCAGGACCCTTGTGTTGTGTCTCACAGGCAGCTGAGCGCCTGAGGAGCCTCCCCGAGGTGCACTACAAGCAGAGGGCTGAGGAGAGGTCATGATGGGGAGCAGCAGAGTCAGCCCTCACTGTGCATGATGAGGCCAGGAGGAGGAATCAGCTGAGGGTGGTGAGAGTTGAGGCCTGGCAACTCATGTCACTTGTGAGCCCTCTGATCTCCAGCTTCTCCTGAGCCTTGTCATGGCTTGTCCTCACTTAGGAACTGGTTTTGCCTGTTGGGATGCTCCAGTCCTAATCTTGTGGCATCATCACACAGGTGGTGCTGTTCTGTCTCTTTCCCTATCTCTTCTGCCTCCACAGCATGCTCCTACCACCACTAAAGGTCTTTCCCTCCTTATTATTCCACTCTTACTGGTGGGACTGGGAGTGCTGCCTGTCTGTGGAGGAGCACAGATCCCCCTAGTCAATAAAACCTGGAAGCAAAGTGCCTCTGCCTGTACCCTTGTGGCTCTTGGCCTTAGGTGGGAAGTTTGGGGGTCTCTGGTAGGGACCGCAAGTGCTGGGGGATATAACACTGGGGCTGCAGGGGATGTGCTGGCAGCCCCATTCTGCTTGCCGCTGTCCTTATCTCTGCGTTGCCTCCTCTTCCTCCCTGGGGGGAGCTCTCAGCCTGTCTCTGAGCACTGCAGGCTTGGGTGGAGTGGGAAGCAGGGAGGAATTGATGCTGCCAAGGCTTAACCAGCTTCTGGAGAGGGCTGAGGCCTGGCAGACTTGCTGCATGGATGCTTCTGGGGAGAATGCTTGGCTCCAGAGCTGCTCCTCTTCCTCCTCCCTGCCTGAGGCTGCCGGGGTTCAGCCCTTGTCCTGCCTGCTGCAGGTTCTGTGGCTGCTGTGCAGCGCTGTGGGGATGCAGCAAGGAGCTGTCCTCTTTTCCCTTCCCTGTGCCCACCAGTGGTGTGGGACAGCAGCAGCCTCGTCCCTAGACTGAGCTGAGGGATGCTGCAACCAGCTCTGTGCTGTCCCCCACTGCGGCCCCTTCCCCTAGGGAAGCCCCAGGACTGTCCTGGGGTAGGTCCTGGACAGCAATGCCCCACAGCTGATGTTGGGGGATGCACAGTGCCATTTGCCATCGTTTTCTTTGCAGAAATAATCTTTTATTTGTCACTAAAGAGCCATTCTCATAACTCTTTAATGAAGCCTTGTCAAATCTGTGAGTGGGCTCCTGGGGGCTGGAAGTACCTTACAAAGAGAGAAACGCTTTCTGCCTCCCCACAATGTGACAATTTTTGGGGAGGGCCCCTTGCTCTATCTGTGCATCATTTCCCCATCCCTACACATGGGGCGGGGGCAGAAAAAAGGGTTGGGCCAGTGTGGGGGTCAGAGCCGGGCTGGATGTGTCCTTCCTGCATGCTGGCCTCATCCTCTTCCCCAGTCACCCTGTCCCAGAGCCCATAAGCCATCTCACCACTCAGCCTCCCCACGTGCCCAAGGGGTTTGGGGAGGGGATGGTGGGTTTTGGGGAGACCCTTGATCTTGGAGCCATCACTGTACACAACGTACCCCCTGCATAGCATGGTGGGGTGCCCAGCTCAGAGTCTGGGCTCTTGCAAACAGTTTTCTTCCCTCCTGCTATAAGCAGAGTTGGTCTGGGCTCTGCAGCCATCCCCATCACAGCTCTCAGCCTTTCTCATCACAACAAGTGCCTTCACTCCAACCTCCGAACTTCCGCGTTTTTCCCCAGGGCCCTGGAAAAGCGGCAACGAATTGACTTAAATGTGTGAATCCAGATTGGGATAATTAGCCGCTGAACCAGTTGTAACGAAGCTAGTCATCTCCTTGCATGCACAGTTAGCTGTGATTTAATAGCCCACCGGCTCTGAGCCTTGGCTGCATCGCCTCGGCCCGGGGCCGTAAATGAAACTCGCAGTAAGTCAAGC